CCTCGCTAAATGGAAAAAAAACCTGCATTCTAATCTCTTTCCTATGTGTTGCAGCATGTGTCACACTCTCTGCGGGAGGTTTCTATGTGGTCCTTATTGGGCACTTCAACATCTTAAATCATGAGTTGGGCTCAAAGGTAGGAGGAGTGGTGCTGAACTCTAGGATACACTTTCTCAACATACCAGAAACAAGGAAATGAGGCTGGCTTGTTTGTTTGTTTGTTTGCTTGCTAGTTGTTTGACCCTTCAACCTGCTCTACTGTCCACACACCAAGAACAAAGTGTTGGTGGTGGCAACTTTCAAAAATTCAGGGCCGACCTGAATGGCTCACGCCTGTAATCCCAGCGCTTTAGGAGGCCAAGGCAGGTGGATCACTTGAGGCCAGGAGTTCGAGACCAGCCTGGCCAACATGGTGAAACCCTATCTTTGCTAAAAATACAAAAATTAGCAGGGCAGTAGTGGCATGTCCCTGTAATCCCAGCTACTTGGGAGGCTGAGGCAGGAGAATCGCTTGAGCCTGGGAGGCGAAGGTTGTGAGGAGCCGAAGTCTGGCCACTGCACTCCAATCTGGGAGAACGAGACCCTGTCTCAAAAAAAAAAAAAAAAAAAAGGTTGTTCTAAAATGGGTATGGGTATCCCCACCGGTTACATGGCATCTCCCAACACTTCTCATTGGTTTCTCATTCACCCCTTTGTCTTCATTCCTCATTCTTTTGTGGCTGCTCCCAACCACTCTGCCTTCCGCGTTCCTTTCTCCCCAGGGATGTTACAGACCACGACCAAAGGAATCTGCATTTTACAAGTCTGCATTGAAAAACAAGTGAGTCTGGCTACTCTTTAAAAAAACAGATTTTCAATCATGGCTAATCGCCAATTACCAACCCATCACCTGTTTTTGCACAGCCTGATAAATAAAAATCATTTTTACATTTTTTATTTTTTTGAGACGAAGCCTCACTCCGTCACCCAGTGTCGTACTCTCGGTTCACCGCAACCTCTGCCTCTCAGGTTCAAGTGACTCTCCTGTGTCAGCCTCCCAAGTAGCTGGGATTACAGGCACCTGCCACTGCACCCGGCAAATTTTTTGTATTTTTAGTAGAGACAGGGAGACAGGGTTTCACCATGTTGGCCAGGCTGGCCTTGAACTCCTAACTTCAGGTGATTCACATGCCTTGGCCTCCCAAAGTGCTAGGATTACAAGTGTGAGCCACTGCGCCCAGCTGTTTTTACATTTTTAAATGCTTGAAAAAGATTCGATAATTATTTCATGACACATAAAAATTATATAAAATTCACATTTTAGTGTCCATAAAAGAAGTTTCATTGGAACACAGCCATGATCATTCATTGTCTGTGGGTGCTTTCCCAGTACAACTGGAGCGGTATCATTGTATAGAGACCTGCAGAACCTAAAAAATTTATTCTCTGGCCGGGCGCGGTGGTTCACGCCTGTAATCCCAGCATTTCGGGAGGCCAAGGCGGGCGGATCACGAGGTCACGAGATCGAGACCATCCTGGCTAACACGGTGAAACCCTGTCTCTACTAAAAATACAAAAAATTAGCCAGGCGTGCTGGTGTGCGCCTGTAGTCCCAGCTACTTGGAAAGCTGAGGCAGGAGAATGGCGTGAACCCGGGAGGCGGAGCTTGCAGTGAACCGAGATCGCGCCACTGCCCTCTAGCCTAGGCAACAGAGTGAGACTCTGTCGAAAGAAGAAAAGAAAAAAAAAGGAAAGAAAAGAAAAGAAAGCCAACCCTGACCTAGAATACCCAATTTAAAATTAACCATAGACAGCCCTTAGCTGAGGTGCTGCAAAGTTATTTACAGACCTTGCTACATTACGTTTCCAAACTTTGCAGAATACATATTATCACAATTTTTTAAGTGAGAAAACTAAGGCTGACATAAAACTTTGCCAAGAGTCTGGAATTAAACAAGGTCTGTCTGACTTGGAAACTAGCAGTTTTTCCAGTACACAACACCCCCTCCTTAAATCTCTGAGGGGCACTACATTCTGAATTAATACAAGCAGTACCCATCCACTGGTCCTAATTTTCTCCCTTCAGTCCATTAATACAGTATATCTAGACTATAATTTTGTTTTGCCTGAGTCTTTATTCTCTGGGCTTAATGCTGATTCTTTCAGAAGTTTCTAAATGACAAAATTTTAGGTCCCTTCACCCTCCAGATCACTCCTCTGAATATATTCATTTGTTGATAATGCCCTTAAAGTTTGGCACTTAAGACAGAACTTGATGCAGGGGTAGGGTGCCGTCAGCAGAGTGACCCCTAGTTCTAAAAATTCTACGTCTTCCCTACTTTTCTATGAAGAGTTGACTTTTTGAACCCAAAGGCAGAATCTGACTTATTACTATTGAATTTCAATTCAATAAAATTTAATAAACTAGAGTTTACCATTCCTGATTATTTGAATCCTCATTCTGCACACTGATGATGTTGCAATTCCTACTAACTCCTTGCCATCCACAAATACGATATGCATGCCTTCTGTTTTTCATCCAGGTCACTAGCAAAACTGCATTAAGTTTTATCCTTTACTCCAGAAGGTTGCACTATAGGCCCTCCATTTCATCAAAAGCCTCATACTTAATATGCCTCACTCTGTCCAGTCTGTCTGTTGGGATAGCAGACTCAAGTGAGATTTGTCACACTTCAGAGGAAACCCCAGGCCAAACATCATCACCTTTTTTTTTTTTTTTTTGAGACTGAGTCTCACTGTCACCCAGGCTAGAGTGCAGTGGCGCCATCTGTGATGCCTGCCTCCCAGGTTCAAGCAATTCTCGTGCCTCAGCCTCTCGCATAGCTGCAATTATAGGCACACACTACCACCCCACCCAGCTAATTTTTGGTTTTTTTGTTTTTTGAGACAGAGTTTCACTCTTGTTGCCCAGGCTGGAGTGCAATGGCGCGATCTTGGCTCACGGCAACCTCTGCCTCCCAGGTTCAAGCGATTCTCCCGCCTCAGCCTCCAGAGTCGCTGGGATTATAGGCACGCACTACCACGCCCAGCTAATTATTGTATGTTTAGTAGAGACAAGGTTTCAACATGTTGATCAGGCTGGTCTTGAACTCCCAACCTCAAGTGATCCGCCCCCTTGGCCTCCCCCAAAGTGCTGGGATTACAAGTGTGAGCCACCACGCCTGGCAATTTTTATATTTTTCATAAAAATAGGGTTTCACCATGTTGGCCAGGCTGGTCTTGAACTCCTTACCTCAAGTGATCTGCCTGCCTCAGACTCCCAAAGTGCTGGGTTTATACGTATGAGCCACCGCGTCCGGCCCCAGCATTACTTTTAATGTTCTCTCTCCTCAAACCCACATACCTACCTCTACAAAAAATGTTAACTTCTGTTTCCAGCTCCTCCTCCTGCATTATTTTCCATTCTGGGTCACTGAGCAGGATATAGGTTACCCAACCTCCCCTCCCCAGGATCTTAATCCCAGACCTACCATTTGCCTAGGACTGGTTGTGTGAACTTAGGCAAATTCCTTAGCATTTCTCTGCCTCTCTTCCCATCTGAGAAGCACAGATAGTAATAATACCTAGTAAATAAGTTAACGGATGATAGTAGTAAGAAAAAATGGGCTGGGCACAATGGCTCATGCCTGTAATCCCGGCACTTTGGAAGGCTGAGGTGGGTGGATCACAAGATCAGGAGTTCAAGACCAGTCTGGCCAACATGGTGAAACGCCATCTCCACTAAAACTACAAAAAAAAAATTATCCGGGCGTGGTGGCAGGTGCCTGTAATCCCAGCTGCTCGGGAGGCTGAGGCAGGAGAATCGCTTGAACTCAGAGCGCGAGGCTGCAGTGAGCTGAGATCGTGCCACTGCACTCCAGCCTGGGTGACAGAGTAAGATTCAGTCTAAAAAAAGAAAAAAAAAGAAAAAAGAAAAGAAAAAATGTTCCATTTCATATCAGATTTTCATAGCTAGTACCAGAAAAGGGGTAATAAGCTGGAAAAGCTAAAGAATTGGATATTTTTTAATGTAAATTGTTTTTCATTTGTCTACTTTATTAAGCTGTCTTCATGTACCAAGAAACATACTGTCCCCTCATTTAGAAACAGACTAACTCCATTTTCCTCCATTATCCCCTCCCCTATCCCTGTCCTTGATCTGTAGATCCTGTTAAGACAGGTAAAACAATGTTGGTCAAAGGGTACACGCTTTCAGTTACAAGATGAACAAGTTCTGAATATGTAAGATAGAACATGGGAGGTGATGTGGCTGGGTGCGGTGACTCTTGCCTGTAATCCCAGCACTTTGGGAGGCCGAGGCGGGCGGATCACGAGGTCAAGAGATCGAGATCATCCTGGCCAACACAGTGAAACCCCGTCTCTACTGAAAATACAAAAACTAGCTGGGCATGGTGGCGCATGCCTGTACTCCCAGCTACTCGGGAGGTTGAGGCAAGAGAATTGCTTGAACCCAGGAGGTGGAAGTTGCAGTGAGCCAAGGTCGCACCATTGCACTCCAGCCTGGCAACAGAGCAAGACTCCGTCACAAAAACAAAAAACAAAAACAAAACAAACAAACAAAAAAAAAAAACATGGGAGGTGATGTATGTGTTAATTGACCATGGCAATCATTACACAAATGTATATGCATATCAAACCATGTTGTATACTCTGAAGAAAATTAAAAAACGACAGGATCCACCTGTCAACACATCCTTAACACTCAATCATTTTATCCCAGAGTATGCTGAGTTCATGTCTCAGGGGAAACACCAAAATCCATGGAACTGCTCTCATTTTCTATCCCCTAAATGTCACTTTAACATAGGAAATGTCCATTTTGGGGTTATTCGCATTCAAACACAGGCCAATGAAAAAAGCTAAATTAAAATGTAATTATCAAGGTAATGGAAAGATATCCTAATCTCTTCATTAACAAGACTATCAGGAATATTTCGAATGTCCAATCACCCTAGGAGTCCCAATTCTCTTAAGGAAGAACTTCAGGATTTAAACAAACTCAATGTGAAAAATAAACATTTATTACAAAAATTAGTTTTGACATTTTAAAGTGAATGCAGACAAGGTGTTTTCCAGTTCTAAAGGTCTGTTGTAAGCTATAGAAGTAAATTCCAAGGCTGGTAATAACTGACTCATTCTTCACCAGTGACCTAGACAACAAGGAACCATTCACCTCAAATTCACAGAGCCATGAATCACCTCTGCTTCCCCATGACCTTTTCCATATCCCTTCTACTGTCTCTTCCAACCATGACACAGAACTGAAACATACTTTAAAAATCTCATCCTTGGCTATGCACGGTGGCTCACACCTGTAATCCCACCACTTTGGGAGGCCGAGGCAGGCGGATCAAGAGGTCAGGAGTTTGAGACCAGCTGGACCAACATGGTGAAACCCTGTCTCTACTAAAAACACAAAAATTAGCCAGGCATGGTGGCATGCACCTGTAATCCCAGCTACTCAGGAGACTGAGGCAGGAGAATGGCTTGAACCTGGAAGACGGGTGATCACACCACTGCACTCCAGCCTGGGTGACAGAGTGAGACTCCGTCTTAAAAAAAAAAAAAAAAAAAAAAAACTCATCCTTACTGAACCATTTCATAAGCTCTGCTTTGTCTAGTTGGATTTCATTTCTTCTGGAAAATTTATTTTTTATTGGCATGTGACCCTTAACCGATAGCTTCATTAGCATTTTGTTTTTCTTTTTGGATCCTTAATAGAAAACTCAGTTGTTAGGGATTTCCAAATAGGATAGGGCAAAGTGGCACTCAGTATATCCTCCACAGAAAGAAAGAAGCAAAATCAAGCCAAGAGGGCCCTTTATTTGTCCTCTTGCTAAGTTAATAGACTGGTGGGATGGTGGTAGATGCAGAAACAAAAATGTAAGGGCAAAGGGTCCAAATGGGGAGGAGGAAAGCAATGATAGCCAGGCCTGTCCTGCTCATTCGCGTTTATTCACATGCAGACCACCCATGATCTGGTCTTCAAATTTCTTCTGAACTCCACCCCACTAAATATAGTAGCAGTTACTACTTTAAACTACTACTAAAGCACTTGTTCTCCAAATGACCTGAGAAATCCCCCCGCCTCAGCTCTGGGACAGTAGTTCCTACAGCCATAGGGAGGTCTGTTAATGTACCTGGCTGGACAGGAGGTACAAGAGTAAGTACTTTCTCCTCTCACTTGGTGGAACAGGCCAAGGAGATCCCCCAAGTACAGCATCAGCTTCACCCTGAGTACCTTCCTCCAGCAAAGGAAGGCCTGGCCACAAGAGGGCTCTGGAATGAGGGCCTGAAATTCAGAAGCTCTGCCTTGAGATAAGAACCCGGAAGGGGCAGGACCAGGCACTGGGAACCAGCCCCAGGTTGCTGGGAAGCAAGGCTTTGAGGCATTTTCCTGTTGTACAAAGGAGCCCAGGAACTCTCAAAGACTTTTTCCCCTACTTACTTCCCACAAAAAGAGCCTTGACAAACCAAGGTTTTATTTCCAGCAACATCCAGCTGATAGAAACACATAGAAATACAATCTCACCAAAGAGCTAAGAAGCCCTCCAACACACACCCAATTTCAGCATACAGCTAAGACCGCACAACACACACACAGGCTCAACAAAGAGCTAAGACCACTACACACATCTCCATAGCACCACGAGCACATCTCAAAAGGGTCTGTCCAATAGTTCCAGCCAAGGGAAGGGTGATGGCCTGAGCTACCAGCTCCAGCTTTCTTTTCTATTCTTTCTTTCCCTTTTTTTTTTTTTTTTTTTTGAGATAGAGTTTCGCTTTTGTTACCAGGCTCCCGAGCAGCTGGGATTACAGGCATGTACCACCATGCCTGGCTCATTTTGTATTTTTAGTAGGGTTTCTCCATGTTGGTCAGACTGATTTTGAACTCCTGACCTCAGATGATCCACCTGCCTCGGCCTCTGGGATTATAGGCGTGAGCCACCACACCCAGCCTCCAGTTTTCTTTTCTTTAGAGCAGTGGTTTTAAATATTTTTCACTTCACGTTCTCTGAAAATTTACTATGCTCTCCACAACAAGAGCTCCCATTTTCCACAGACACAGTCAATGTCAGTCGGCTTGTATTCAAGAGGAGGACAGGGCAGAGGGACTTCCCATGGGAAGACAGAACAGAGTGGGCCCCAGAGATGGAAGGACCCCAGTGTCATCACCAAACAACCATTTCAGCTGCTCTAGCCTCTAATCCCTACTCTAGAACAGCTGGCCCCGGTCCTCAGTACACAAGGAAAGAGCCCAGAACCAAGCTCAAGATCCCTATTTAAAGATCCCTGCCGGCCAGGTGGGCAGTTGAGTGCAGATTCCTGGGAGCCCCACCATTTTTGCTGTTTAGAAGGGAAGTCAATGGCATACCCAGGATTCCTGCCTGATCCCTCACAGAAATGGGGAATAAACACTTTAAACAAGTTCCAGGCCACTCAGCAGTGGTAGGAAAGGAAGGGAGAGAATGAAGGAGGAAGGGACACATAGTTGACATTATTAAAAACACATCCTAAGAAGTAGGGGGCCGTGTGGGGTGTAGAAGACAAATAAGGCATCCTGTGAAACTACAGACATCAGGGGCCAGAGTCCGGTAGCACCTGAGTGAGGCAAGTGCAGATGACAGGCGGTGAGCCCAACCAGGCTCACACCAGGAATGACGAGGTCTGTTTGAATTCCCCCTGCAGAAATAAAACATCCGGTCAACTCTCAATAGTCTTCTTTAGCTGATAATCCCCAAAACACATAAACATGGGCTAGAAATCTCCTCACTCCAGCCCCAGGTAGCCCACCCCTGCCCAGGGCAGGCATACTCACTTCACTTCGAGCACTAGGCTGGCTGTAAATCACCTTCTTACTCGAAGTCCTGTGAACAAGCCAGAAGACAGACACTCAGCCACCTAGGTGCTTATTACCTCTCCTTGCCAACTTTAAAGGCCAGAACCGAGAATGCTACAGAAGCACAGAGTGCGCAGCAGAAAGGCATGGGTGGGGGGAAATAGGACAGGCCCAGGGCCAAGGGCACAGAGAAAGGGCTGGATATCCAGATGCCTTCCCTCCAAACTGGTTGCTTCTGCCTTCAACCCATTCCCCCGGGCCCACTTCAGCTTCAAACGGCATGCATCCATGCTCTCAAACTTGGAGAACCCCAGGACAGCACCTCACTCACCCTTTCTTTGTTCCTGAAAGAGAAGAAATGGGATCATGAGTGACAGCAGGACAGAAGACAGTATGGCTTGGGAAGATGGAGGGGTAGGCCCCCAGCTCTTGGTGTGTGTTAGATGGGTGATCAGTGTTCCCCAGGGGACAACACCCACACACATGAGCACAGTATCAGGGTCAGTACTCAGATGACACCCATGCCAGGCCCTGGGATGGGGGCAGTACAAAGGAGAGCCTCTGGGGGCAGATACTTACTGTCAAAGTGGCCTCGGCTATAGGCAAACCAGATGCCAAAAATCAAGATTCCCAGGAGAATCAGGGTTACAAGGACGGCTGCCACGATGACCCCCACATTCCGCTCCACTGTGAGACACAAATGAGAAGTCAAGCACCAGGATACTCACTCACGGTACCAACAGGATCACCAATGGCAGGATGAAAAGCAGACGCCGATCCCCACCCCAGGTCTGGGCTCAAGCCCTAACTCTCACCAGCTTCCATGCGCACAGCATTTGATGTCATGGGTGTCCCATACCCATTCCGTGCCTCACAGCTATATTCTCCAGTATCAGAGGCTGACAGGGGATCAAAGACCTGAGGGAGGAAAACAAATTGGCTTCCTGCTTGAAGAAGCAAAATAGCCATTTTTTAATGTCTCCTGACGCCCATCCCAAGTTCACCCTGCTGCCTGTTCTTCCTCCCACTTTTTGGGGTTCTATAACTGCATGCCCCACACGTCTTTCACCACCACCCCATCCATACCAGCTCTCCTGTTGTGGGATTCAGGACATAGGAAGAGTTGCTGAAGGCACGGGTACTCTTGGGATTCGTAGGCATCACAATCCCATCTTTGAACCAGGTGTATTCAGAAGGTGGGGAACCATCTTTTTCTGAGCATGTCAGCACTGCCCGGTTCCCAATGGTGGCAGAGGAGGGGATGCTAACTGTAGGCTTGGATGGAGGCACTGTGGAAGAGAAAGACAGAAGGTGCTGAGTACAGGGTGGGGGCTGCTTGAGCCTAAGTAACCAACTAGAATGGTACCCCCATCTACTCAGCTCAAGCCTCCCACCCTCACCATGCCCCTGGTTGCCACCTAACCAGGGCTTATCCCCTCTCTGGCAGCTCCGGGACTCTGAATAGCTCCACCTGTGGGCATTCTCACCATCAAAGAGCTCCAAAGCTCAGCAGAGCCTGCTATGGGAAGTAACTAACTCCAGGCCCACCCAGAAGATATGTGGCACATACCAAGCACGATGAGCTTGACCTTGACCTCCCCATAGTTGTTGCCACCTTCCTCAGAGACCATACAAGTATATGTCCCGGTGTCCTCCCGTGTCACGGACTTGAAGGTGATACCACTTGGCAAGAAGGTCACTCGGTCCTCATAGGAAGCTACCACAAGAGGAGGCAAGGGCGAGGACAGAGTGAACTGGAGAGCTAAGGGAAGCTGATGAAGGGGGCATCCAAGGTACGCAAGTGCTCTCCTCTTCCCCCAGAAAGGGGAGTGGGAAGGCCATGAGGACTTGAGCCCCAGGGTATGCCCTGGGATAAGGGCACAAAGCCTGGATCATAGAATCCAGGCATGATAACCCCTCCACAACCTAGGCAATCAGGAAGGAGGAGAAGCAACTCACCTGTGATCTTGTTATTATAGCAAACGAGTTTGGTGGTGTCTCCTTGGTCAAACTTCCACTCCACACGGGGAGAAGAAAAGCCCGAGTAGGCACAGGACAACTTCACAGCTGCAGACAGGGTCAAAATGAGCCGGAGGAGGAATCAGCAGCAAATACATGAGATGGGGAACAGCCCTAAACTGCAGGCTGGGCTGGGTGCTCTCTAGGTCCCCAGACGGCCGGCAACTACTCACCCTCACACCCTCCACAGCCCCTCCCAACTCACGATTATTCTCAGGAATTCTGACTTCAGGTTCAGAAGAGTGCACTGTAACACTGCCCAATGCCAGGGGGCCTGAGGAGAAAGAAAGAGGTGGGCCCTGTCAGGAGTGAGCAGAGAAATGCCAGGAAGAGGGAGGCACAGACCCAGCAGACAGGGCTTCTCCACTCACAGACCCTAAGCGGAAGGGATTCCAGACTCATGCCCCTCCTGACTCTCACACTTTGTCACCATGATCCTAAATGTCTTCTTTAAGTGCTTTTTGCTACAATTGCAGGCTAATACTTCTTTTATCAATGGAAATCTCTCAAATGCAGCTTCTTTTGCTTCTAATTTTTCTCCCTGTGACTCCCAATAATCTAATTAGATTTCTACTAGTCCAAGGGCAGCTTCCAGAATGACATTTCACCGTTCAGAGAAAGCTTCTCAACAAATGATTGCAGCCACTTGTCAAGACAATCCTGGAAGGAAGCCAGCAGGGCTGGAGGCAAGGGATGGAAGGGAAGGGCAGAGCCATAATGAGGATAATAATAATACTCGACATTTGTGGAGCATATGGTGCTTTTTAAAGTGTTTTTGCATACATTATGACACGTTGCATCATTTGATCCTGGAAACAAGCATGACAGATTGGCAAGACATGTATTATTATCCCGAGTTTACATGAGGAATTAAGAGTACAAGAAGTAAATGTGCCTAATGTCATGCAGCTGGGGCCAGGACCGGTGGCTCAGGCCTGTAAACCCAGCACTTTGGGAGGCCAAGGTGGCCAGGTTATGAGGTCAGGAGTTCAAGACCAGCCTGGCCAATATGGTGAAACACCGTCTCTACCAATAATACAAAAATTAGCCGGGCGTGGTGGCACGCCTGTAGTCCGTTACTTGGGAGGCTGAGGCAGAAGAATCGCTTGAACCAGGGAGGCAGAGGTTGCAGTGAGCCGAGATCATGCCACTGCCCTCCAGCCTGGGCAACACAGCAAGACTCAATCTAAAAAAAAAAAAACAAAATCACACAACTGGTTCTAAGGTGAAGCTGGCACTAGAAGTGGGTTCAGATCACCTCACTAGAATACTCGCCAAACGGAGAAAGAAAAGGTAGTGTGTGCTGGGTGGAGGGAGGGAGGAGCAAAGAGGCTAATTAAGTAATATGGGGGAGGTGCATCAGGGTTCACAGGAGGGACCCACAAAGGTCAAATTAAGAAGCAGTGACTAGGGATTCTGGGACCACACGGTGCAGCTACAAACCTGCACTTACACAATTATTCTCATTCACGTTTTCAAAGTCAAATTCATGAAATATCCTTTTATTCATAGCTTCAAGTCAGGACCCTGTCTTAGATAAATGTAGAATTCAAACACATTTGTTGAATTCAAGTACATTTTTCCTTTACTTAATTATGCATATAACTGATTATGGTCTCTTGACCTCTGAGATTCCCCTTCCTCTCTGAAATATGAAACAGATGTGCTCTAAAGTCCTTTAGGTTCCTTTTTAATTTTGGCATTGATGTTTAGACAATGTCTGTATACATGTATTTCAATCTGACATAATAATACTATGGGCCGGGCGCAGTGGTTCACGCCTGTAATCCCAGCACTTTGGGAGCCCGAGGCAGGTGGATCACGAGGTCAGGAGATCGAGACCATCCTGGCTAACACAGTGAAACCCCATCTCTACAAAAAAAAATACAAAAAATTAGCCAAGCGTGGTGATGGGCACCTGTGGTTCCAGCTACTCAGGAGGCTGAGGCAAGAGAATGGTGTGAACCCAGGAGGCAGAGCTTGCAGTGAGTCGAGATCACACCACTGCACTCCAGCCTAGGCGACAGAGCCAGACTCTGTCTCAAATAAATAAATAAATAAATAAATAAATAAAACAACTTAAAAAAAAAAAAAACATTATGAATTAGTCCAGATAAGTATTCTCTCTCCCACTTTATAGATAAGAGACTCAAGATATAGGTTACTCCTATATCCTTTTTTTCTCTTATTATACTTTTTTTTTTTTTCCTAAGACGGAGTTTCACTCCTGTTGCCCAGGCTGGAGTGCAATGGCGCTATCTCAGCTCACTGCAGCCTCTGCCTCCCAGGTTCAAGTGATTCTCCTCAGCTTCCCAAACACTGGGATTATAGGCACTTGCCACCACACCGGCTAATTTTTGTACTTTTAGTAGAGATGGGGTTTCGCCATGTTGGCCAGGCTGGTCTCAAACTCCCCCTGCAGCCTCCCAAAGTGCTGGAATTACAGGCGTGAGCCATGGTGACCAGTCTAATTTTTTTTTTTTTTTTTTTTTTTTTTTTTTCCGAGACAGAATCTCACTCTGTCGCCCTGGCTGGAATGCAGTGGTGTGATCTCGGTTCACTGCAACTTCGGCCTCCCAGGTTCAAGAGATTCTCCTGCCCCAGCCTCCCGAGTAGCTGGGATTACAGGTGCCCGCCACTACACCGAGCAAGTTCTAACTAGTTTTTTGTATTATTATTATTTTTTAAGATGGAGTTTCGCTCTAGTTGCCCAGACCGGAGTACAATGGCACGATCTGGACTCAACACAGCCTCCACTTCCCAGGTTCAGGAGATTCTCCTGCCTCTACCTCCCTAGCAGCTAGGATTACATGCATGCGCCACCATGCCCGGCTAATTTTGTATTTTTAGTAGAGACGGGGTTTCTCCATGTTGGTCAGGCTGGTCTCGAACTCCTGACCTCTGGTGATCCACCCGCCTTGGCCTTGCAAAATGCTGGGATTACAAGCGTGAGCCACCACGCCTGGCAATTTTTTTGTATTTTTAGTAGAGACAGGGTTTCACCATGTTGGCCAGGCTGGATTTTTTTTTTTAAGAGCTAGGGTTTTGCTACATTGCCCAGGTTGGTCTAGAAATCCTGGCCTCAAGCAGTTCTCCTGCCTTGGCCTCCCAAAGTGCTGGGATTACAGATGTGAACCATCACGCCTGGCCATATACCATGGTTTTCAAAAAAGAAGGGTGTAGGCTGGACACGGTAGGTCACATCTGTAACCCCAGCACTTTGGGAGGCCAAAGAGGGCAGATCACTTGAGGTCAAGAGTTTGAGACCAGCCTGGCCAACATGGTGGCCAGGTGGCACGTGCCACCATGCCTGGCTAATTTTTTGTATTTTTAGTAGAAACAAGGTTTCACCATGTTGGCCAGGCTGGTCTCGAACTCGTGACCTCAAGTGATCCATCTGCCTCGGCCTCCCAAAGTGCTGTGATTATAGGCCTGAGCCACCACACCCCACCTGCCCAGCTAACTTTTCAAATTTTTTTGTAGAGACCAGGTCCCACTATGTTACCCAGGCTGGTCTCAAATTCCTGACCTCAAGCAATTCTCCTGCCTTGGCCTCCCAAAGTGCTAGGATTACAGGCGTGAGCCACCATGCCTGTGGAAGTCTCTTACTCAACTCTCATTAAGAATGCTATTTGGCTGGGTGTGGCAGCTCAACAGCCTGTAATCCCAGCAGTTTCAGAGGCTGAGGCGAGCAGGTCATAAGGTCAAAAGTTTGAGACCAGTCTGGCCAATACGGCGAAACCCCATCTCTACTAAAAATACAAAAATTAGCAGGGCATGGTGGCAGGCACCTGTAATCCCAACTACTCGGGAGGCTAAGGCAGGAGAATCGTTTGAACCTGGGAGGCAGAGGTTGCAGTGAGCCAAGATCGCACCACTACACTCCAGCCTGGGTAACACAGCAAGACCTGGTCTCAGAAAAAAAAAAAAAAAGGGGGGGGGGGGGGGGGGGGGGGGGGGGCACCTCTGTTCCAAAGCTGTCTGTGGGATAGGCTGAGGTCTCACCAGGACTACAACGCAAACTTGGCCTCTCCCTCTGTCCAATCTTGCTTCCTTCCCCTCCTTTCCATGGGCGTGGATTCCAAGTGCACCCCCTAATAAATGTCTTGTATGATTATTGACATCTCAGAGTCAGCTTCCCAAGAACCCAACCTATGGGTTGGGTTATTAGCAGCATCTAATTAGACTAAAAACTAGCCTTTGAAATCAACACACATATACACACAAATCACAACATATGAATTTTATGGTTGTTCCTCCACCACTTCTGGGTTTAGCTAAAGTTCTTTGTTGAGTCCTCTCAGATCATCACATTCACACTACATATATACACAAACACATTGGGCTACAGGCACATTATCCTTTTCTTCATTAATCCTCACTGCCATCACCTGGTCTGGGCTTTTGTTCTTTTGTTTCGAATACATGAACCTCCGCCTTAGTGTCCTCCCACCCACCTCTGTTGCAGGATTAACTATGTCTGCCTGTGGCCTAGCTGTGCCAATTCTCCCAAGGTCTACTGTGATGGCCTATCACATCATGAGTCAAGGCCGGCCTTACCACCATGCCTTTCCCATTCACCAGAGGACACCTCAGCCATTCTGGTCCACATTCCCCTTCTCGTTCTTGAACAGGCCCCTGGAACCAGACTGCCTGCGTTCAAATCCCAGCTCTGGACTGGGCACAGTGGCTCACGCCTGTAATCCCAGCACTTTGAGAGGAGAAGCAGGTGGATCACCTGAGGTTAGGAGTTCAAGACCAATCTGGCCAATATGGCAAAAATCCATCTCTACTAAAAATATATATATATATAAATTAGCCGGATGTGGTGGCACATGCCTGTAATCCCAGCTACTTGGGAGGCTGAGGCAGGAGAATCGCTTGAACCTGGGAACCAGAGGTTGCATTAAGCTGAGATCGTGCCATTGCACTCCAGCCTGAACAAGAAGAAACTCCATCTAAAGGCCAGGCGCAGCGGCTCATGCTTGTAATCCCAGCACTTTGGGAGGCCAAGGCAGGTGGATCACCTGAGGTGGGAAGTTCGAGACCAGCTTGACCAATATGGAGAAACCTTGCCTCTACTAAAAATACAAAATTAGCCACGCGTGGTGGCACATGCCTGTAATCCCAGCTACTCAGGAGGCTGGGGCAGGAGAATTGCTTGAACCCAGGAGGCAGAGGTTGCAGTGAGCCAAGATCGCGCCATTGCACTGCAGCCTGGGCAACAACAGAGAAACTCTGTCTCAGAAAAAAAAAAAAAAAAAAAAAAATTCC